GCAGGCACCCCCGGGCTGGGACGCGCGCCGAGAGCCGAGGGGCCGAGGGACAGCGGGGCCGGGCTCACCCATGAAGAGGCAGAAGAGGTCGAGGCAGATGAGCAGCGCCCGCTTGCTGCCGCCCTTCCGCGGGTTGTTGTTGAGCGCCGGGCTGCCCCCGTTCTTGCTCTCCGGGACGATCGCCTTGTCGTACTTGTAGTTTTGCATGGCGCTGGCTGCGGCGCGAGCCTGCTGACCCGCGAAGACGTCCCGCGACAGCAGCCACACACTCAGATGCCGGGATCGCCTCCTGGCCGAAGCCGCTTGGGAGAGCCACGGGTCGGGACCGGCTTGGGACGCGACAAGAATGCGATTTCGCTGCCTTCTTCCAAATGCAGACGGTGGTGTTTTCTGCTCACCCTGTGTACCTCTGCTTTCTTTCCTCTCTCAACCCCAAATCGTTCGAAAGTCCAAGGGGAAAAGAGCCAAATCCCCAGCAGAAACTTTTGCAAAGCTGCGCCGCTCGGGACGCGCTGGGCTTGAGTGTGTCTGACTGCGCGAACGAGAGAGTGGGCAGCGCGGACGCTCCGCCACCTTCCTCCGCGGCTGGTGACTTAATGAATGGGAGCTGCGCGGAGCTCAGCCACTCCAGAGCGCCTGCCCCAACTCCAACTTTTCCTCCTCCTCCTCCTGCTGCTGCTGCTGCTGCTGCTGCTGCTGCTGCTGCCGCCGCGGCTGCTGTTGTGATCGCCTTGGGTTTGTTTTCTGCACTTTTATTTCACGAGGTCCTTTAAAAAAGAGAGAGGGAACGAGAGGGACCTCCTTACTTGGCTCTGAAGGGATTCAGAAAGTACGGCCCCTTCCTTAAGCTGCCTAAGACGTAGGCTAATTAAGGCCACATTCCCCCCCTCCGCCCCCCCTTAAAAAAAAAAAATTCTAAAAGGAAAAGTTATTCTCAGAGAATCCGGGAGCCCCTAGCGTTCAGAAACACCAAATTGTCACAAAAGGAAAAAATATATATAAATGAAAAGAAACATTTTCTTGCTGGCCTTGGGTCAGGCAAAAGTGAAGGCTGCACAGCTAAATGCATTTCTCCTCCCTTACAAATTTGGGGCTTTCAAGCCTTTTTTATTTTCAAGTTTTTATTTTCATTTGAATCTCATTATTCTGATAATACTCGAGGAAAACTGTTTTTTGTTCGTTTGTTTGTTTTTAAGATCTTCACACCCAGCGCCGTATACTGTGCTAGATTCTAAGGATAGTAACATGAAAAAGACTGCAGGACTCTGTGGGTTTGAATCTTGGCTCCGTGCCTCAGTTTCCCCATATGTAAATGAGATAATGACTCTCCCAATTATTAATTATTAAGATTTGATTAGTTAATTAATGTAAGCACCTAGAAAAGTGCCAGGTACATAGGAAGTACTACGTATGGGTTCCATAATCTTTACTTCTGTTTTGGGGGCTAAGAAGTCTCAAGTTCTCTAGCCCCTCTGCTTGTTCAGCCAGCCTCAGCTGAACTATGGGGATGTACCCATATGTACCTCAGTACCACTATGGGGATGGAGGGAGCCAGGCCAGCAGGAGTACTGGCTAAGGGTATCATCTTTAGCTTGAGTTTTGGGACAACATAATGCTTTGCCTTAGACTGTCATTATTTTTAAATTATTTTATGTGACTTAATCACTTAATTTCTCTTCCAGATAAACCTTCCCAAGGAAAGGGCCTTCCCTTGTATCTTCTGTAGTGCTTAGCAGAGAGGAGGGCACACAGTGGACAACAGTAAACATTTCTTCCAGATATCTCTTTGTATGCATTCTGTAGCTTTTTGATATACTTACACGGACTTGTTGTGGGGTTCAGTAACCCTATATCCAGCACCATCAGTCACTCGCCCTTTCTCAAACTGTCCTTTCACACTGCGCACCCCTGCCCTCCTACTCCCTCTACCTGTAATGAACACCATTTCCCCTTCTCTAGTTCCCAGAAAGCTTCTCTTGCTTTAGGGTCCTCCAAAATGTCACCCTCTCTCTGAGCCTTTTCTTGACCCCTGGACAGAATTAACTTCACCTTCGACACTTTGTAGCACTGAACACAGTCTAAGCTGGTGTTATAGTTAAGACTAGTCCACTCTATAGATGCCTCGCATTATCTTCCCAGTACCTGGCACACAGTTTGGTGGCTGCTGAATTAAGCTCAAGTCCAGAATGGATAACAAGTGGGGCTGACAAAAAAGGCAAAATCACTGTCTTCTGGAATAAAGAATAACTGAATTTCCAAGGCAGTGTGGAAGCCGGGACATCCAACCGCCGATCAGACTCAACAGTCTCAATTCAAATAGTACGTAAAATTCTGGATCACTAAGAGAACAGATTCCTTAGATAGTTTTTCGTTGAGAAAAATCTTCTCTTGAAATCTTAAAATAGAAGAAAGGTATAAGGTCGATTTCATCACTGTTGACATTCGAAAAGGAATTCGGGGATTGCAGGATCCTTCCCTTGCCCACCCAACCCTCTTTGTGATTATAATCTTCCTTCAAGTTCTAAACCACCAAACGTTATCTTTGGAATTTCAATTTAAAAGTTAAGTGCAAGCCTTCCTGAAACTACGCCCCACTCTGATCTTTTCCTCCTTGGAGCTCCCAAAGACCTGGAGTATCTGTGCCACTCAGAAGGCCACTTATATTCCACTGGATACTACTCTGTTCTATTATTTGAAGTTTTTAATGACCTCCCTTTACCTTTTCTATCTGCTTTTCCTTATCTGTGAAATGATTTTTATTAATTTAAGAATAAATATTTTTAAAAGCTAGACTGTTATTGTGGAGAAATGATACTATAACTCAGCAATCCTTGTCGATCTCTTTAAAGTTCCAAGGTATGATTAACTTTAGCCAGCACTAGATTGAATACTAGGAATCCACTTTACTTTAAGGTTCTCTGGATTAAAGTCAGCTAACTATTAAGAAGGGTGAAAATCAATTATTTCAGGAGGGAATGAAAGGGAAAATCATTGGATGTTTAAATGAGAGTTTTATATTTCCATTTACAAGGCTCCAAGGGCTATTTTTTCATAACAAAAAGATCATAATATTAATAGATGTATGTATATGTATGCAAAGAGGCATTATATTTGGGTTACTCTTCAGAGAAAAAGAACACTACAGGCACTCATTAAATCGACTTGAAGAAGTCATAAATACAGTGTCAATATCATTCTTAAGATAGCAGGAAATAAAACAGCCTACCAGATATATAAATGTGAAGGTCTCTGCTTTAAACCTCCAAATTGAACAATCTAACTAGTAAGTAAAATGCCACAGAAAAGACTTGATAGTTTAGAATGGTATCATTTGAAAGTAATTAAGTAAGTAAAATTTCTAGTAAACATAGCTTACCGAAATCCCAAAATCACACCTAAAATGACATTTAGTCATTATCTTTGTTTCTGAAATAAAGATACTAAATTTTGGAAAAATAAGGGGAAAATAAGGGATTTGCTAGTCTGTATAAAAACTATAACATCAGCAGGGATAAATGCCTTTTTTAAAAAAGATTAACTTATTATGTGTGGCAACACATCATTTTTAAATAACTGATACCTCCCAAGAGATTTAAATGGCCTTAATTTCTAAGATCTCTTTTACTTTATAATTTTATTTTTCTCTTTTTAACTCCTAACATTCAATAATTACTCTTTTTTTTTTTTTTTAAGACATGAATTGGCTTTGAAATATTCAAGGAGGAGATAACTGGGTCCCTTTGCATAAAGGTGTATCGTCCCAAGCAAGATAAGAGCCCAAATTTCCAAAGCCATTGAAATTCACTTAAGAAGACAGGTAAGTTTTGGCTGCTAAGTATCCACTTATCCAGATTCTTTAAAATCCCTGCTTTTACATTTACATTCCACCTCTGGTTTTAACTAAACAAAAATTGCTGGCTTGCTGCTGTAAGTGTTGGATTCTGTATCATGAGTGCTCCCTGAGGACTGAATAGAGGCCTCTGCAGTAACAGGCCAGAGAAAAGGCAGGAAGGAGCAGGGGATTGGAGGTGTGACCACTTTGCATCTGCTGTTTGATCTGAAGCAAGCTGAGCAATTTCTCTGAATCTCAGTTTCATCAACTTTTAAATCGAGCTGACATTTTTCTCTGGTTCTGGGGACTATCATATTAAAAATGAAATCATACATTTGAAAATACTTGGTACACAATAAGCAGCTGACAAGTGTTAGCTGAATGTTAATATTTTGAATGAACACTTTATTTCTCAATATACCTAATTTAAATACAGATATTCAAAAAGCATCGATCAAGTACTAACTGAATACTCTATATAAGTCTAACCATTTAATTTTGTTCATCCTAAATGCAATAACACCTTCAGCATCTCTATTTCTTTTTTTGAATGTGCAATTTCTTGAGCTTTCTGAAAGTAGTAAATCTCAAGCATGGTTTTTTTTCTTTTTTTAATTATTTTTATTTATTTTTATTTTTTTAAGTAAGTTTATTGGGGTAAGATTGGTTAATATAATTATATAATTTTCAAGTGTACATCATTTGACATCTGTATATTCTATTGTGGCATGCTTCTTTTTTTTTGACGATTTAGTTACATATTGTTTTCTTTGAGATTGCGAAACTCAAGAAAATTCATTTGATTAAACTAATCATCTTGTACAAGTGAGAGCACTTTCATTTTCAAGGCACTTTCACAATTATTATTTTAGCCTTACAACTCACAGAAGTAGGTGGAGTTGTTATCATTAGCCTATTTTATGGATGAGAAAATTGAGACAAGCCCATTTAACTGGTTAGAACTGGTTTTCCCCACAGGTAAAGTAGAAATGATTCTAACATTAGCTCATGCAGTGTAAAACAGAGCCCTTTACAGTTTATAAAGGTATTCACTGATCTCATTTCAAGCAGGTAAAGCAGAGATTATTAGCTTTGTTTTAGAAATAAAGATACTGAATTTTGGAAAAATAAGGGATTTGCCTAAAGTTGGAGGTAAGGAGATTCTTGAAGCACCACTAAAATTCTAATCTCTTAATTTCTAAATTGAGATTTTTTTTTTCTTTGCACCACAAGGTCTCACCCTCAAAGGTGCTCAAAAATGTCTACTTCTTAACAGTGGTTTCACGGAGTAATTTAGAGGGACTACAGAATTAGTGTGGACTCTATTTAAAAGACAGAGGAAAAGAAGTTTTGTTTTGTCTTTTCTGTAAACTTGGAAAGGAATAACATTATTGCACCTCATATCACTGCAGATTTGGGTTCATTATTTGTCAAGCAGTTACTTGTTACTTAAAGAACACCAAATGGTAGTGTTACTGTAAAGCAGCCTCCATTCGTGTCAATATTTTTACCTTTCTACAAGCAGTAATCTTTTCTTTAGCAAGAAATTGGGGCAGCTAGAGCTAACCTTACGATAATTCAGTTAATGTTCATTCAAAAAAAAAAAAAAGAGAGAGAAAAGAATCGAGAATGGATGGAAAAACTTGCAAATAAAAATGTTGGTTTGTCCTTAGAACAGGTCAAATTAGTGACGCTGATAACTCAAAAGGAGACCAATGCTGCCACCTTGTGTCATTATAGAAAAATACTATGACTCCCAAAGTGAAAAATTGCTGTAATTGGGAAATGGGGAACAGTCGGAATAATAATTCAGAACTTTCATATCATACATGAAATAACAATAGCCCACAGGTAATGAGACTTTTCCTGATCTGGGTATTTTTCATTCATGTGACAGACATTTATTGAGCACCTACTATGTATCAAGCACTCTTCTAGGAGCTAGGAATATGGCAATGAACAAAGTAGACAAAAACTCCTGTCTTCACTGAGCCTTTAGACATCTATTCATTTTTTATGT